AAATTTATGATTGCCTGAATGAGAGCCACCGTCACTGTTTGCGTCATCTGACTTAATGCAATCTGCTAAGATTCTTTTTGCAAGAGAAAGCGATTTAAAATAAAGGGATTAAAAAATCAGTTCGTTCTGATATCTGGGCGTCTATGTTATCAGTATTACACTCGATGGATAATTGTACCTCACCATATCGTTCATATATTGACTCAATCCTACCAATACGTAATTGCAACTCATTTACCTCAGTAGCAGCCAATGAAGATACCTTCAGTGAATTTAAATAATTTGAAAAAGCAGTTATTTGTCCCTTGTAGCTAGCTTGTTACCTAATTTGCTCCTTATCTTCTGGCATGTTGACTGGGATTGGGAGACTAGTGCAAATGCCTGATAAATTATACGAACAAGAAGTTTATATTTTATAAAATATAATTCATAAGTAGTTTTATACAATTTTGTTTACAGTTATAAAGAAATGAAAACTAATTCCCTTACTTATTTTGATAGTTTAAACCCAATAAAGAAAAAAATATAATATCGTCAATATAATTTAACTAAGCTTTATAATTTAATTTAATTATGATTTGACGGTTATTAGAAACTATATAAAACAATATTAAATAAATATTAGCTGATTAAATACTTTAAGTTATACGTAATTATTTTGTAAGTAATTTGGTTGGTACTAACCTGATAAATTAGCAGTCGATTTACACAAAATACTACCTGATAATGAGTGCTGGGTTAAATAAATTAAATAATAGTCCAATGTCTAAGGGGCTAAGACTCCAGATTTCTTGGTTGAATATCTTCACTCACTCGGTGGTATTTCCACAATGAATATTTAAGACTTCCCAAGCGTATTCCACTAAATAATATCTTGTCCAATTACGTTTTTTCAAATCCGGCTTCGATTTAGGACCATGAATAGGAATATGATCTCCTTTTAATAATAAAATGCAGTAATTTGCTCAATCGACCTTTTTATTTCTACTAATATTGGCATTAGAACTGCTAATATAATTTGACAGGCGCTTCAACAACGAGCGAAGCTTTGGAGCGAAATAAAGTGAACTAAAGTGTTAAGTGTGAATAATTATAAGTGTGATTTAAGTTTTAATTACTGTTCTGTTTTTATTGTAACGAATCCTAAGCTCGTAAAAATATTTTTTTCTATATTTTTATTTCTATTCATCAAAGTAAACCCATGCAATCAATGCTTCTCTGCCATTTCAGTGGCAATTTATTAATGCCCTTATTGAGAAAACCAGCTGGATGGGAGGCAACAAATTCCTCAAAGTTATTTTGCACTGCCTTTCGGGTAATTTTTCCCGCCAAAAAGTAATGCAAATTCTGGAAATGTATAAGTCTGTAGATGCATGATTTGGGAAGTAGCTTCCAACCTCTGTCCTTGTAACTTGGAGACCGCCTGTTGAGCCAACCAAATTTTTGTTAACCAAATCGAGCTTTTCCATCATTGTATTCAGTTCTTCACAGTACACATCTGCAGTAATGCTCATCCCTTTTGGTAAGAAACTGTGATGTATCATATCAGTGCTAGACCACCAAAACAGTGACCATCACTTTTCTAGGAGTAAGTTTTGGTTTAGGGCATTGTTTAGGTGCTTAATGAGGATCAATTTGCTGAGCTCTTGCGATTGTCAAACAGAATCCATTTTTCGTCGCAGATAACAATGCAGTTCATTATTTCTTCGTTTGTGCCTGTTGAGCAGTGCAAGGTACGTCTCGACGGGCAATTCGCGCTGACGATCATGAACCCTTCAATCCTCATAAAATTCCCATACAGTCGCATGCACCTGACAAATCCCGAGCGGTCGCATGCGACCTCACCCACTCACAGCACTTAAAACCATAAAAACTTATATTTAGATACTACTTTCTGTTAAGAGGTTTGGCAATATAAAATCTATACAAAACTCTCTATGCTGTAGTCTAAAAAAAAGTTAGGTTAAACTTCATTACAAAACGATTTTATGGTATTTTTATAACAAAAAAAAATACCAAGTGGATGTCGTCAGCGTGAAAATCACAATTATTTCTATGTATTACTCGAAATTATTTACACTAAAAAAAAACACTACAGTAAAACACTAATAAAACACTAGAAAAATTCAAAAATCAACACAATAACATCCAAATGAAAATGGCGTACGTAATGAACGTAGAATATAAATTAATATCCATAAACTAACTGTTTTTTATTCCACTAAGGGATTGAAAACATTGATTTATATGTTACACTAGATAAGTAATTTCCGCGCCAAAGCGTTGTCACTTCACATAAGGCCACAGCCTTATACTCAGCGAACGTCGGTTCAGTGTTCAAGGTGACGCCGTCCGAGTTAAGCCGAACGATTCACAACAAAAAATGGGTAAATGCGTAGTGAAAGAATGCGTTTCAAGGTCACAAAAACATAATAAATCAAGCGGAATCACTTTCCATACGTAAGTTTTAATTTATATATTCATATTAACGTTTAAAACACTAAAAAATTAAATAAAATATCGAATATTGCAATTTAGGTTCAATGTTGCCACTTTTCCGCCTTTGTGATTTTTCCACATTAATGGGAGACTGTATAATTTATGGAATAAGTTAATTTTGTTTTAAAATAAACAAGTAAAATTGATTGCTTAAAAATAAAAACTATGTTTCAACCTTTATACAAAATAATTATTCTTATTTTATTTTATTCATGAGTTATCTATTAAATATATTTTACTACCTTATATCTTATATTAATAATTTTATATTAATTAAAATTTCATATAAATTTTATATTAATTATATTTCACTACCTATTTTATATTACTTGATTTATTAGTACAGTAAAAATATTTATAAAAATATGTTTTATTTCATCATTATGTACTTCTAACTCATCTGATAAGCTTTGTATTCTTTTTTTCTAAGGGGACGCAATAAAGATTTTAAAATAAAATATACTTTCTTAATATAAAAACAATTAACTGAAGCTTAAAAAAAACTCATTTTTATTGCGTATTTTAGGTAAAATTTTATATAGTAAGCCACACCAACCCGCCATTGCATGTTTGTGTGTCTATCTTTATCTAATTTTAGCGACGATATTGTTTACGTAACTAGTGTAAGTGAGATAGATATATGTTTATTTAAAATTGTTATTAGTTTCAAAGCTACGTCGTCGCGTTTGGATAGTGGTTACACATTTTCCGACGCGCGGTAATGTGGTTTGCTCCTCTAGTGTTGTATAACTCAATGAATGAAAATTTCAGAAAAGTAGCTCTAAACACAAGTATTTGTTGTAGTAAGTAAGTGTACAAAAATTTGACCTCTTGAATTTTGATGGAATATCGAAGCGGTCAAGTTTGCGTCAAATTTGTCAATTTGAAGCAACTGGACCAATATTATTCTGATACTAATATCAAAATCTGCTGCAAATTCAGCCTTAGGTTGTGTATCACCAACTTCCACAATCACTTTCTTACTTTTTTATTCTTCATTGTCGACCAAAGTTTTTGGACGACTACTGGGTTCGTTTTTTAGGTCGAAATTTTCAGAACGGAAGCAGGCAAACCAATAAGGTAATGCGTTTGTTTGTAGTATTTGTATAATTGTTTTGCCGACAAGTTTGTCGGTTCATTTGATATTTATTTCGTGTACAAGATGAATATGATCATATCATAAAAGATGAATTGTTTTATGACAAGCAATTCATTTAAATAAAATGTACTATTTCGGAATTCCATTAATAATGTATTTGACGGCGCCTGCACCGTTGCACGTGCGGCGGCGTCTCTGTTGCTAGCCAGAATTATTGTAAAAATCACGTGCACCGTACACTTGCGCGTTGAATTTACCGTGGCACCCGTGTGACTACTTGCTTTGCTTGTATAAAACGGACAACGGACGGAGCGGCCGTTTCGCCCTCCTTTCTGCCAAGGAGGGTCGCGTCCGTCTACGGCTTAAAGATCTCTCGTCAGATCGGTAAGCCAAACCCAAAAGGTGGAGTTTAGTGGGTAAAAGTCTTCACATAACCACGCAGCCGGCTGCGTGGTATACTATGAGCATTCTCCACCTCCCTCCCCCGTTACCGGAGGGTTGCCCTTAATTGCTTCGGGCAAAAAAAAATAGAGCGGCCATCGTTAAGGGAGTCTGGGCTCTAGCGTGGCACCTTACACTTGTATCCCGTTACTAGCTCACCCTCGACTCTTCGGATAATTAATTCGTGCAAAGGAATTAATTATTATTTTAAGCTATTAAATTAGTCTCAGTACAATTCATAGTTGATTATCTATGATCTGTGTATTCATAATTGTATAAAGTTATAAATTGTAAATTAATTCTAGTTCAAAGAAATGTCCCGCTGGGTTTCCTGCTGGTTCTTCGAGTTCGACGACTCCGTGGCTTAGCAAAGAGTGGCTGCGCTGGGGGTCGCGGGTTCAAATTCTACACGGAACAAGTATTTGTATTGCCTACAACTAATTGTTCCGGGTCTAGATGTTTATCCTTGTGCAATTTATGTTTGTAAACTGCCCCCACGATACAGGAGAAAATCCTAGTGTAAATGTAGTAAATGTAGTGTAGGAGTAACGTTTTTTTTTTAAAAAGAATAGAAAAAAGAGGTTTTTCCGAAACAGTGCTCGTAGAACTACATTGAATATAAATGATTATATTCTATACGTGCTGTTTTAGGGAGTCATTACGAATCGTCTCGCACGTAGACTCGACGACTTCCAGCCTCCCGGGCTGGTCAAGTCAAGCTGGTTTCTGAAAAGGCTTCAGAACCATAGACCACATACATACCCTGCGGCAGATTGTACAGAAGGCCAAAGAGTACAATCTGCCACTTTGCCTGGCATATGTAAACTATGAGAAAGCCTTTGATTACGTCGAAATTCGGGCTTTTTTGGAAAATCTATGTGGGGCCTTTTTCACCAGTGAACTTTTATAGGACTTTGGATGGATGGATTATACTTCATCATAAATAAGTTGTTACGCATACCTCTTTATCTGTCAGGGGAACTCCTTTAGGTGAGTCCTTGGATTGCAGGAGCAGGGTCATAGGCGACATCCAGCCGATGCTTGCACCATATACAAATACTGGTAAGTTGACTGAAAAGCAAAAGAAAATTAAAGCGATGTTATAAAATAAGGTAAGAAAATAAAATAATAACAAATAAAGTAGAGGCAGAACTCTAAATCTCGGCCGTCCGTCGTGGTAATTCGAATGTGCCTATAAATGTCTCTTTGGTTTAATGGTCGTAAGAGCGACCGCTGTTTGTGAGGCCCCGGCTTAGAATCCCTGGATCGGGCTAAAAGCGGTTATTGGATATTTTTATCCAGAAATTATGGGTAGCGGCCCGGTCGTCGTCTGTATAAAAATATTGTTTTAATGTGTAAAGTCCGCCAAAATGCATTCGAGCAGCACGGTTGACATTTATGCTGCAGCATGGCTCTATCACATTTACTTTTAAGCCTTAAGAGAATCTCAATAGCAACCAAGGGTAAAAACTGAACTATTATAACAGGTCCTTACATATGAAATTGGCGTTTTGTACGGGAGGAATATAAAGTAATTTTTTTTTGTAAAATATATTTTTAATTAATCAAAGTTGTTATCTATGCACTTTTGCCATCTCATAGTATCTCATAATATCTCGTAGTTCATTGATCCCTTTACTAAAAAAAAACATGGGGGCGAGTATCAATAAACTCCTTGAAGGCGGTTTGTACTGCCGCATCGGAGTTGAATTTTTTTCCTTATAAGATTTTTTCCAAATTGCGAAAAAAATGGTAATTGTTGGAGCAAGGTCCGGGGAGGACGGTGGATGTCGCAGACATTCCAATTGTAGCTCATCTAACTTAGTGGTTGTTTGTTGTGCAGTGTGTGGTCTTGCGTTATCGTGAAGCAGCAGTGGCCTAGAGCGATTGACCATCTCGGTTGTTTATCAGCTAGTTCTTCCTTCATGGTTTGCAGTTGCTGACAATAGATATCTGCCGTAATCGCTTAGCCAGATTTTAGAAAGCTGTAGTGAACGACACCGGCGCTAGTTCACTAAACACTCAAAATTAATTTTTTCTGAGTCAATTTTCGTTTACGGCGGGATTTGTCTAGTTCTTCAGGGTTCAGCCATTGCGACGAGCGCTTCCGATTATCGTACAGTATCCACTTTTTATCACAATTAATGATTCGATTTAAAATCCCTTCATTTTAGTGTCGATTGAGCAAAGTAAACAGCAGTGGACGCGTGTTTGCAAGTTCGATTCACTCAATTCATGAGGTACCAATCATTCAAGTTTTTTTACTTCACCGATTTGATTAAAGTGGATTAATACGGTTTTATCACTTATCCCGAAGCCTGCAGCTATCTCTGAAGTGCTTTGTGATGGATCCGCTTCCATAATGGCCTTTAAATCTTCATTTTCCACTTTGGTTTTCGGCCGTCCACGGGGTTGGTTCTGAAGGTTGAAATTTCCAAAACGAAAACGTTGAAACCAAAAACATACCGTGCTATCTTTTGCGACACCAGCTCCGTACACATAATTAATCCTTCGAGCTGTTTCTGCAGCACTGTTGCCATGGTAGGACTCGTACTCGTAAATATACCGATATTTCATGTTTTCCATTGTGCGGTATTAAGTGACGCCAAAGAAAAAAATAATAAGGAAAAAACAAATGAATGACTGTTTTCAAAACTCAAATATACCAGCTAAATGAATTTATAAATTTGAATTTGGAATTCTTAACCAAAGAGGAGATATTTCAGATCAAAGTGGTCAGTACGACAAAACGCTAATTTCATATGTAAGGGCCCAATACTTACTTAAAACTGCGCATAGTATTTGATTAAACTTGCTTCCTTCAGGAAGAAGGGACTGAAAATTCTTCATTTCTATAATATCACCATTAATTTAGCAATTTATTAATTTTTGCAACACGATTTTGTATTTCACTTAGTTTGATCACTGTACTTTATAAAATTGGCTGGAAAATTAAATTTGTTGATTGCTTAAGAATAGCATTCAAACGCGTACAGCATCTTTCGCGGACTGAATGAATACGCGACAACGATTCGTTTTCGTTCAAGCATTTAATTGCCACCGCTAAAACTATAAATTAAGTGAAGGCGTACGTGAGTCGTGATTTATTATTATTTTCAATTATTTGAAATCTTTTGAATGTTATTTTACCAAGCCTGCATATTGTTACGCTCCCTCCCCCTACTCTTCTCCCGTCTACATATTATTCAAGAGGCCGTCTGTTGTGAAATCATACTCCATAGAATAGAATAAATTTTTATTCAATATACTTCATTTATTTCAGACCAATTATCCATATTTGTTAAAACTTATAATACTCTTAATTAATTTATTGTACTGCGAATAACATCATCGAGGAATCGGATAAGTCTAGTGTGAAACAAAGGGCTGTTACTTAATGCTCTGGTATAAGATACGTATCGGCAATGGATCACTGAAATTCCCAACTGACGAAACATACTGTACAAAGTACTACTAGAAATTTTAAGTGTACATTTTGTCACAAAGTGTAAAGAGTTAGCGGAGTGGACCGCGGGGGTGCGTAGCCTGTCTCAGTACTGCCGCTTCATTTTTTAACTGGAGATGACATTTGAGAGACGGTTTTGTCCTGGGTTACGAAAACGTAAAGGAGAAAGAAAAGTTATTTGCTGAGAGTATCAATGAATTGACCTTCAGCAAGGCCTTGGAGCTTGCACAGAGTGTGTGATGTACAAGAATTTCCATGCCGAGTACCAGCAACCCCTCACAACTATGCGTTCCCGCATTTCCTCAGGATGTTTTCGCGATGCATTTCCGTGGTATAAACAAGTACATTGTTTGTGGCATAGCAAAGATATGTGTCAAAGCAAAAGGAATTTAACTAAATCTACTATGTCGGAATCAAGAGTGTATCAGGTATTTATGACTTATTTTCTATTAAGTGTAATTACGGCGAGCTGATGTGGCATATGATTTTAATAGGTGAAACTGGCTTGGTTTGTGAAATTGATAGTGGTAGTGCGGTGTCAATATTACCTTTTAGAATTTATGAAATTAATTTTAATTATTTTCATAATCTAAATAAATGCAAGGTAATACTAAATTGCTATAATGCACCGCTAGTTAAGTACAGCGAATTGTAACAACTTGACTGTGAACAAAAATTATGATAGAGAAAAATATATATATATATATAAAGTTATTTTCGAATGAATTAGGAATCTTAAATAACTTTAAAATTAATTTAAAATTGAAATCGAACACGGAGCTAAAATTTTTTAAACCATGGCCCAACTTAAAAGCACAAATTAACTATTTAAGAGTTTTCTTAATTACTTTGCATATCTTTGTTTGCACATAATATAATTATTTCTTACGTAGCAACTCTCTGCCTATTCATAATAAAACTAACAGATTACAGTTGTTGTACAAGCATGTACATTTTAATGTCGTCATTTGCTGTTGTAATAGCTTGATTTAGATACTAATTTTTTTATATAGGAGAGGGGGCAAACAAGCATTCGGCTCACCTGATGGTAAGTGATTACCGTCGCCCACGAACAGCTGCAACACCAGGGGATTGCAGATGCGTTGCCGGCCTTTTAAAAAGGAATAAGCTCTTTTCTTGAAGGTCCCTAAGTCGTATCGGTACGGAAAAATCTGTGGTGGTAGTTGATTCCACAAGGAAGTTGTGCGAGTAAGAAAACTTCTTTTAAATTGCTTAGTGGTGGATCGCCAGTCATCCAGATGGTATGGATGGTATCGCGAGTTTTGTCGCGATGTGCGATGGTGAAACTGTGCGGCTGGAATTAGTTCGAAAAATTCCTCAGCGCACTCCCCGTGGTAGTTGCGATAAAATACGCAAAGAGATGCAACATCTCTTCGCAACGCCAGTGAGTCAAGCCGATCGTACAGAGCTCGGTCGACGACGATTCCAACTGCTCTGTGCTGGATGCGATCAAATGGAAGGAGCCTGCATTGGGGAAGCCCGACCCAGAGATTTTTGCACTCAATATTTACAAAAATGAAGACTTTTGAAGCATAAGTCAATAACGCTCATGGGGACAGGGGACTTAAGGTCAAACAATCTATCAAAATTTTAGAATTTGCCATAGCCGTCTCTTACGACACGCACGGTACGAAATAAGATAACGGATTCTCTTACGCCGCCACATCACGGCGCTCTAAAATGTCGAAAAAAAATAGTACTGGGTAGTCATTTTATAGGCATAGAAATCTGCCTGAGTAGGTACGAAATCCACTATTGAACACAAGCCTCCCCCATAGATTGTATCATTCATGGGATACTTGCCATAGTTGCCAAGCTTGGGAAGCGGGCTCTAATGGAGGTGTAAGAATACTTCTAATACTCGATATCTTCCCGTGACGGTCGTAAGAAGCAACAGAGCAGAACAAATCAGATGGGCAGCAGGATCCTAATAACGACCAGTTATTTCTGCCGCCAATCAGCAGTGTATATACTGTACTGTAATGTGTTGCGGTTTGAAAGATATAGAGAGTAGTAAATAATTTATTATTACCGCGACTGACCGCTAAGTCTAAGCGTTCAGTCGCCGTAGAGTATACATTACCTGAAGATGCCTCGTGTAGAGGTGAAACACGTGTCGTATTGTCGTCGATGGTGTGTCTTGCCTGGAATAGTGCTGTTGGAAGTAGTGGTGCCGGGAGTAGTGGTGCTTGGACTAGTGGTGACGGAGTTAGTGCATGCAATTGAGGGAGGGCGGGAGGTGCTCATCAATCCAGGTAAGACACATCATTGTAATTGGTTAGCGGAAGGTTGCAAAGTAATAAATTATTTATTATAATGGATTTCCGCAAAGCAACGCCTGATTCTATCACGATATAGAGAGTAACTACAAATTCAAGCTAGGAGACATTCCGTCTTAATCTTCAGAGGTGACCGTAGGTGAATCTGTAGTCCATAGAATTAACATACCGCTGGTATAAAACAACGTTTTTAATGGAATTAAACGCTATGTCATAATATAAAAATAAATAATTTAATTATGTATATTGACATTAACATTAACAAACATAATTTTATTTGACGAACGATAACTATTATCTATCAAGCTATTATCAACAAACAAAGAGCGGTGATGTTGTATTTTATTTTTGATGTGATAATGTAACCATAAATTTGTGTAGTAAATCTGCTTAAATTAAGCAAATTTACTACTTACAGACATTCGGTAAAACAGTTGTCTTTTTTTTTTTCGAAAAATCGAAGTGACAAAATTACAGTCTAACTGAATGTACGAGCAAGTACATGATATTTCAACAGTTTAGAAAATAATGCTGATATCGCGCCTGCGCGCGCGACACGTTCACTATAATTACATTTTTTATTCATAAGTATTTTCAGTACAATAAACGCTCTCTACGGAAACGGACACAGTTTTAATTACCACATCCCGTAACGTAGAAGATACAACCTACATTAATATACTACATATCAATTATATGTAGAGGGTCACAATTCACAAAATACCCCCTACATTTTGGTTCTTCGAGTTTTCGACGTGAACTAAGACTTGCATATTACGTCTACAATAGTTCAACAGTAAAGTGTACGGAAAAAAAAAAAAAAAAAAAAAAAAGAGTTATTCGTGATTCTATCTGTAGTGTCACTTTGGTTGCTGGCCTCCCACAAGCGGGTCTCACCAGCTTGATTGAGGTGCATACTACGGTAAGAGTCGCAGTCACACGTATCTGAAACCAACTATTTACAACATCGTTCTTAAACCATGGAGAACCTACTTCAACAACAGAGAACAATCATTGAATCTATCCTTAAAATTGAGGCTAACTTCAAAAAGGATTCTGATTCACGTAAGTCAGGAACATACATACAGAAAAGGTTGGATGCTTTGAATGCTCAATGGGAGGTGTTCAACATGAATCATGGTGTTCTAAAAAAAACAGACAGTGACTTGGATGACGACTATTTCATCAATGATACCTACACCACCACAAAGAAGCGGTACGAAGCGATTCGTGACATGCTGACGAACTACGAGGTGAAAACTACGGAAACTGGAGTACCATCAAGGTCTGATAAGTTCATTAGCCAACAACGCACTAATTTCCGGGCGCTCTCTAGGGTGATTAAAAACATCAACACCAAAGAGTTGACAGAAAAGTGGGAAATTTGTGACAAACTGAATTCGCTGCAGTCTCGCTGGAAACTGATCGACGAGCTCCACTGGCAAATCGATAACCTGACTTCTGGCGGTGATGTAGGCTACGAAGAAGAGTTTTCTGCATACGAAACCTTGTACGAAACTACAAAAAGGGATTTGAATCGTAAGCTTAACTCAGTATCTCAACAGCATCAGCAAGTGCCTACAATTGAGATTCCTTCTTTTTCTGGTAATTATACCCAGTGGCCTACATTCATGGACCTCTACTGTGAAGCCATCCACAACAATGTCATGTTGACAAAAACGCAAAAGATGCAGCACCTCAAGGACAAACTTAAAGGCGAGGCGGAGCGCATCGTACAGCATCTTACAGTATCAGCTGATAATTACGACACCTGTTGGGAGATACTCACCCATAGGTACAACAACCGACAACTTTTGTTTACAAAACATATACAAACCCTTATGGGACAACCGGCGTTGCAAACACAGAATGCATACGAGCTGAAGAAGCTACATGACACAAGTGTCGAGACCATACATGCTATTCACAATCTGGGCATCGACACAACGACTTGGGATCCGATCCTGGTGCACATTCTCACTGGCAAATTGGACTCCGACACGTATGCAGCCTACATGGAGATCAGAAAGGCTCCGAGAGAGCTACCTTCCTTGGATGAGCTGATAAACTTCTTGGAAAACAAG